ATCATGTTTATTTAGGCAGTAGTTATCATGCAGGATTCCACTTACAGGAGGAAAAAAATCTGATATAATAGTATGTAGCAGTAATGAAGAAAATTACTAGGCAGTTCAGGGACAACTTGTTCACTGTGGAACTTTAGTTGAGTGATTCATTCCAAGAAGTGAGTCATAAATTTTTTTTTAGAATTCATGCGATTTATGAAAACGTTTGTTTCCAAACGAGACATGCTCGTTTTCTTGCGAATTTTTTTAATGAACTAATCTTAAACCTTCATGAAAACATAAGATAGAATCGAGATCATGTGAAGTGTTAATACCACTTTATAATGCCTTGGTAAAGCCACACTTGGAATACTGCATTCAGTTTTGGTTGCCATGAGGTAAAAAAGATGTGGAGAGACTCTTGAAAGAGTGCAGAGAAGAGCAACAAAGATGATTAGGGGACTGGAGGCTAAAACATATGAAGAATGACTGCTGGAATTGGGTACGTCTAGTTTAATGAAAAGAGGGACCAGGGGTGACATGATAACAGTGTTTCAATATCTCAGGGGTTGCCGCAAAGAAGATGGAGTCAAACTATTCTCCAAGGCACCTGAGGGTAGGACAAGAAGCAATGGGTGGAAACTAATCAAGGAGAGAAGCAACTTAAAACTGAGGAGAAATTTCCTGATAGTGAGAACAATTAATCAGTGGAACAACTTGCCTCCAGAAGTTGTTAATGCTCCAATACTGGAAGTTTTCAAGAAAATGTAGGATAACCATTTGTCTGAAGTGGTGGGGTTTCCTGCCTAAGCAGGGGTTTGGACTAGAAGACCTCTATTCTATTCTATTCTATTCTATCCTATCCTCAGACTACGTGCATAATTGTAATTATGGGGATAGTAACTGGAACAAATACAAAATTCTTGGAGCAACTCACAAAATTTCTCTTTTATCCTTGGCCCTCCCATTCCAGCTTTATTTCCAATTCCCCTTTCCCCCGAACAAATTCATCCATCCATCCTTCCACAGGTGGAAAAACTAATATGGATTGTTTTTTCTTCAAAGTTTCCCTTGAAATAAGCTCAATTCTCAATGACTTGGTAATAATGTGGAAAGGACTCTTAAGGGCTTCTGTAGTATCATGGTGAAAAAGTTGTACTTCTGTTGGGAAAATCCAAGATGGAGCCCACCTTCAACTGTGAAAATTTCCTCTGTGGCATCAAACCAGTCATTCTTTTTCGCACCCTCATACTTTTAATAACACATAATTCTTTTGTTTTTGAAATAGATGGCCTTGGCTGGGATGTATCATAAAATGATCCCATCCTTTTTAAACAACAGAAACGCGCATATCGGAATGAAGGGAAAATTAGGTGAATCATTAAATACACCACCAAAAATCACTTACTAAAATTGCTCTAAGTTCAACCCATGTTGCGAAACGTTGAACTTATTTTACGATAAGATTGCATGGAATTGCTGTCAAAAAAAGAGAGGCGCTATTAACCTGGAAACAACTCAGGAAAGTTCAGCTAAGGATTTTGAAAATATCCCCCGAGTTGAGAGTGATTCAAAAGTTTTAAAAAATGTACTTTATATTTTATATAGTGTAATCTGATTTGAAGTATAGCCAAGTACAGAAATTCTCTGAATCATTGAGGCTTCTGAACTGCATTCCGGCATTAATAGAAGTAGTCCTTGACTTAAAACCAGAGGTAGTATTCAGCCAGTTCTCACAGGTTCTGGAGAACCGGTAGCAGAAATTTTGAGTAGTTTGGAGAACCGGCAAATAGGCTGGCCCCACCCTCACTGTCTCCCAGCCTCCCAGCCTCCCTGATGATCTTCTTTTGTTGCCCTGAACAGGAGAATGAAGCTGGAAAGCAGGTTAGTGGGGTCCGGATGAAATGGGGATTTTACAGTAACTTTCCCTTGCCACGCCCACAAAGCCACACCCACAAAGCCACACCATGCCCTCAAAGCCAAGTCCACAGAATCAGCAGTAATTTTTTTTTAAAATCCCACTACCGCTTACAACTATTTGTTTAAAATCATTTGAAATCACAATGGCAATGAAAAGGGAAAAAAAGACATGATCTGTTGTCATATTTGCAACTATCCCCATATTCACATGATCAAAATTCAGGCATTTGGCAGCCAGCACATATTTACAGTGGTTACAGCCATCTATGATCACCATTTGTGACCTTCCCAGTTGACTTCTGACAAATGGAATACAACGAATGGTATAGCACTAGCACTTAGACTTATATACAGCTTTACAGTGCTTTCAGCCCTCTCTAAATGGTTTACAGAGTCAGCATAATTGCCCTCAACAATTTGGGTCCTCATTTTACCCACCTCAGAAGGATGGAAGGCTGAGTCAACCTTGAGCCTGGTGAGATTCAACTTGCCAAATTGAAGGCAGCCGGCAGGCAGCAGAAGTATCCTGCAGTACTGCACTCTAACCACTGCGCCACCGGGGCCCACCGAGGGATAGAATGGAATGATCATAGAATAAAATAGAATAGAATAGAATAATAACTATTGTCACTTTGAACTAATCAGCATACATTAAAATGAAATTTCATTCACAGCTCTCAATTGGTCACCCTTTCCAATATACACTACATAACCATGACAGAATAAATAAATAAATAAATAAATAAATAAATAAATAAATAAATAAATAAATAAATAAATAAATGAATAAATAAGTAAGTAAGTAAGTAAATAAATAAGTAAATAAANGCCTGCAGTGCTGCATTTAACCACTGCGCCACCTCCTCTCAACTCTACCTTTTTCCTTAAAAGAGAGTTGTTTGCTGAAGCTCTGGGTCATTTTTATCTACCATCTGGGCTGCCTGGTTCCTAGAATGGTCTGTTGGCCATGGGGGGAACACAATGAGTTCTTTGTTGCATGCTATACCTCCACGTCTGTATTTCCTTCTCTCTCTTTCTTGCCCTTCCCCTTGTGCTGCTGTATGGTCAGGTGTGGGACTCAGTCGGTTCGTAGAGGTTCGGGCGAACCAGTAGTTCTGTTGAGCATTTGGCCCCGCCCACACGCCCCTGCGCTTTCCTGTCCTATATTTCCCTGTTTTTTTAGCTCAGCTGATTCGTGCGGCACACCAGATTGCCAAGTGCCACTGTTTTACTCTCAGGCGCTGACATAGATGGTAAGTTTTGAAGCTTTAAAAGGTTATTTTTTTTAAATGCTGCACTCGTGCACTTACCAAACCAGTCGTTAAACCGGTTGCATCCCACCACTGGTCATGGTGTATTTCATGTCCCATTGCCTCTGATTCTGTCTCCTCTCAGCCAAGAAGACATCAGCATCCACAGATGAACAGGAAAATGCCAGCCTGCCAACCTCTGAAGAGACCCCACAAGCCTTACTACTTTTGGGATCCATCGAGTCCCCCCAGAAACAGATGGAAAGGAACGCAGCCCAGGTCCCTCTCCCTCCTTCCTCACTTCCAGTTCCACCACCCAAGATTGCACCCAAAGTCTCGAAGATTGTACCAGGTGAGTCTCATGCAGCCACAGGGAGCTGTCTTTTATTAGAAGGAAGACTGATCAGTCATGGAGTCATGAAGATGGGAGAAGACCTCACAGATGACTGAGGAAAGGCGTAGTCCCATAGTTTAAAGCAGGGTTGTCCAAACTTGGGAACTTTAAGACTTGTGGACTTCAACTCCCAGAAGAGGTTCCACAAATCTACAGTGCCGTTTAGAACCGGTTCAAGCTCCCTCCCTCAGCCCATCTGTACATCATCAAGATGAAGAGCGAGAGGAGGAATTCTGGGAGTTGAAGTCCACAACTCTTAAAGTTCTCAAGTTTGGACAACCCTACTTTAAAGAAACTGATAGTTTCCATGTAGTGTGTGAGGGGTACCTTATAATGAACATAGCTTACATGTCTGTGCTGGTGATACCTTTTACCACGGCAATTCTACCTTCAGTTCCATAATTTGTAGACTTAGAGAATGCTTAAGAACTGACATGTTTGAGAACTGCCATTTGGTTGATAACATACAGTGACACTTTGACAGCTGACGTCATTTCAGACGTGGTACTTCTCAAGGACCAAACAGATGAGACACGAAAGCTCTCTTCTGAGCAATCCAAATTCACTTCTAAATCCCAATTCAGATTTCATATTCAAAAATGCACAGTTCAATCAAGGCTGCAGGAGATGGAACATCTGACATCTGAGTGTGATGCCTATCTTTGTATGGTGGTTCAGTTGAACAAAGAACTGGATCCCAGGCAGAAATCAATAGGCTGTCAAAAAAAAAAAATACTAGAGGAACATTTAGCTTGGGTTAATGTGACCTGTTCTTCTGGATGATAGAGGCTGAAAAATCCTACAGCAACGTTCATGTAGACCAGAAGCAACTTAGGTAGTCTAAGATATGCTTATATATTGTCCTGTTTCTCAGGAAAGTTGGAGGATTTGTTTTTGATGGAGAAAGAGAAATGGATTGGGAAGTTGGAAGATCTCTGGGCAGGTTATATACCATATTTTTCAGAGTATAAAACGCACCGGAGTATAAGACGTACCAAGATTTTGAAGAGGCAAATTGAAAAGAAAAACTTTTTTTACTCTGCAGACCTCCCCAAAACAGCCCGTTTTTCATCAAAAAAGGGCATGAAGAGCCTTTAGGAGGATTATAGCGTGCTCCTGGGGACTGGGGGCCAAAAATGAGCAAGAAATGGCTGATTTTTCGTGAAAACAGCCCCATTTTTTGTCAAAAAAAGGGCATGCATAGCCTTTAGGAGGCTTATAGAGTGCTTCTGGGGGCTGGGGGGGGGAAACGAGCAGAAAACGGCCCATTTTTTGCTCATTTTTACCTTCCCAGCCCCCATCAGCACTCTGGAAGCCTCCTAAAGACTATGCACGGCCATTTTTGCAAAGGGGGTGGGGTTTCGGGAGGCCAAAAATGCTGTATTCAGTGTATAANCCTCCTCCTCCTCAAAAAACCGTTCAGCTATGGGGGTTGACACTATATGGAACTAGACTGGAGATCAGTGAAAGAATTTAAGGACATGAACTGTAAAAAGGGAAACATGAATTTGACAACACAGTTTTGTGTGAGATGTGATTAAAAAGCTCCCAACAATCATCTCAACAGAGGAACAAGAAGTGATTTTATGAAGTAGTGTCAAAGGACTGCCAATTGGTCAGTGTGTCTGTAACAGCTGTGCATTTTGACACACGAAGCCATATATTTTCCCTTCACAAATAATGCATGCGATTTCACTCTCCATTGCTCCAATATAGATGCACTAAGATAGGCTCAGAGTAGATACACCATGATTAAACATAAAATATTCATATATGGAGTGAATCAGGGTGCATTGCAACAAAAGCTAGTGTTCATAAAACTATGCATCTTATGGTTTCCTAGAAGATGGAAAGAAATATTGGTATCAATGCACATATCTTACTGGAAAGGATTTTGAAAAATGGTGAGTAGCAAATAGCTTTTGTAATATCCCTACAATATTCTCACAAAAAGAAATGTGAAGAAAAACCTTAAAACATCTGTTCTCTTCATTAGCTGCCCCCTAGTGGCTAAGCTGACAAACATCTGAATTGCTTCAATACAGTAGTGCATTCTTTGTTTTAATTTTATCATATTGTATTCAGGACAGTCCAACTAATTTCCTGAAGTGTAACTATCATGGATTATGCACTCACTCAATAGATTTTTGAAGGCTATCTGATTTCAAAAATAACTCTGGGTGTCTTACAAGATATAAAATTTAAATCTCTCTCCTTCTCCTTCAATGGGATTTTTTCAAGGCAGAAAAGAAATGAAAAACAAAAACGAGAATGCAAGAAATGTCATGAAGAGATACAGAATTAAAATTAAAACTCCAGAAAGTGTACTAGAAAATCAAGCAATTGAAAATCAACATCTGCTCCTTTCTCATTTACATACACTAATACATATATACAAGCAATTCTGAAGACAAATATAAATATTTCTGAACTTTCTGAAAGGCCTACTTGGTGACAGTTCATCCTGGAGAATCTCTATCTAAATAGTCATTGAATGCCAAAACCAAATTGATAATAGTGGAGTGGAGTGGAGTGGAGAGTGGAGTGGTGCGGTGTGGCACGGCGTAGAGTAGAATAGAATAGAATAGAATAGAATAGAATAGAATAGAATATTCTTTATAGGCCAAGTGTGATTGGGCATGCAAGAAATTTGTTTCTGGTGCATACACTCTCAGTGTCCATACAAGCAGCAAAGTGATAAATCATAAGATACAATAATAAACCAATCAATTATATTAATAATACATAAATCATTCAATCATTTGATTTGTTGGGTCTTATACTCTGTTCCCATTAATAGAATTCTGTGGTTAGACAACCAATGGCATATTTTTATGGCTGGTTGGAATAAGTTTAAAAGGAATTGTGGGCCAGAATTGAAGTGGTATTACCAAAATGACTGTATTTCTTTTATTTTAAATGATAGTTTCTTTTAAAAACAAGGCAGTTGTGAATCCTGTGTGAATTTTCTTCAGAGTAAGCCCCATGAAACTATATATATATATGTTTTCTGAGGTTTTCGCGGGTGTTAGTATGTAGGTCTCTAGTTAGTATGTAGGTCTCTAGTTGTTCGGGTTTTCTCCCGCGTAGAATTGGAGATGTCTTGGCGACGTTTCGACGAAGTCACATTCGTCATCTTCAGGCTGCTGCTGACTACTTCAGGTTTGGTGTTTCCAGGAGTAGTGGAAACTACTACTACTCCTGGAAACACCAAACCTGAAGTAGTCAGCAGCAGCCTGAAGATGACGAATGTGACTTCGTCGAAACGTCGCCAAGACATCTCCAATTCTACGCGGGAGAAAACCCGAACAACTAGAGACCTACATACTAACACCCGCGAAAACCTCAGAAAACATATATATATATATATATATATATATATATGTTTGTGTGTGT